ACACACACACTCACTCACACTCACACACACACACACACACACACACAAAACACAAACACAGTGAAAACACATGAATGCACAAACCCCAAAAACCTGCTGCAAATCACAATCATTTCAGTTTATAATAGAGTGCATTAGTGCAACCCACTTTTTCAGTGTCGCTGGATCCAGAACTAAAAATCATTTAAAAAATGAAAATGAAATGAAAAATAAAAGATAAATAGTAAAATAAAAATTAATTAATAAAAATTAAAAATAAATAAATAAAAAGGAAAATATCCAAATAAAAATCTCAAAATCCTAATAACTATAATTCTATTTAAACAATACTTAAAGGGTTAGTTCATCCACAAATGAAAATTAGCTCACAAATTTAATTATCACAAATTAATTTGTGGGCTAATTTTAATTTTTGGGTGAACTAACCCTTTAAATAACACTGTTGCGGAAGTATTTTTTCCATTCATATTTCCCATAGGGATTTAAAAAAAAGTCTATTACAAACTTTTATTTAAGCATTACAAGATGCATAACATATGTAAAATAAAATTAAGATTAATATATTACTTATATTATTTTCTCTTAAATACTTGTTTTTATTTTACATTGAATATTTCAATAGTAATTTTACTTTGTTTTAATTTAAGTAAAAAAAAAAAAAAGTATTAAATAATAATAATAATATACAACATTACAAATTTCGATTTGAAGCAGACAAGCATTTGAAAATCAGACCAAAAGACAAAGATTCACGACTGTGAACTTAACGGCTTTAGAGAGGGAAAGAACTACAATCCCATGAAGCACTGCAAACTATATAATTTAATTAAAAACTGAAAAAAAAAGTTCATTTAAAGTTGTTGATTATATCTGTAGAAAATATATTTTGTTACAAAATATGCATCTAATAATACAAATATCACTCGCGGTCCTTCATGGGAGTGTGCGGAGCTTTTTGGCTTACTGGTGGAACTTTCTGTACAGCATTATGGGTAATGTAGTTTTTCACCACAAATTCGAATTTTAAAGACAATTATTGTAAAAATAAGTTGAAATAATGCAGTCTGACAACAGCATACCATTGTTTAACAAGCTCGGAGCTCAGTAATTCTGTCTTTAACAGTTTATAAGCTAAATCTCACTTCCCCTATGGAGAAAATGAATAGAGTTTATATTTCTGTAACCCGACCGCTGCTCTCTATTGAACCCGTAACTGATGTTCTCGTACCGTTCCCTCTGTTTGAGCAGCTCTTGCTGTGTTCGACAGGTTGGTTCTCATCCGGTTCTGCTGATATACGAACATCTCCGGCTTTGGTACACGACGCTTCGCCGGCTTCAGTTGCACTTCCTTCAGTGAGCGGATTCAGTTTCTCCACGTGGTTTT